CTCGGGGGTGTCGAGCACAGGGCTGACCAGAGGAAAAGACAGGCAACCCTTGGTGGGATGGTTTTTTGGGAGCTGGGGCTGGTACCCGGCTCAAAGCAGAGCGGCTGTGGCGGGGAGAGCCAGGGGAGCAGAGGGGCTAATTGATGAGGAATTGCTGTGGGAGCGCTGTGTCATCCGGAGGAGCTGAACGCGGGGCTGGCGGGCAGCGGGGCCGTTAAACGGGCTGCGGCCATACTTTGGGCTGGGGAGGATTTATGCGCCGGAGGAGCAGCTCTATCCGTCATCTGTGAAAAGCCTCATTTACAGAGAGACACCGTGAGGAAAGGCAATCAGCTTGAGACCTGCTAAGCTGGGAATTTATAACCGCTCTGCCAGGGAGAGCTCGTCCCTCCGCTCAGCGGGAGCCGCAGAAATGGCAACGGGAGGCAGCCGTGGGCACCCGGGGGACACGCTCCCACTGGGGATCCCCTGTGCCCCAGCACCCCCCTCAGAGAAGCTCCAAGTCCGGCCAGGAAAAATGGCAATGGACTAGGAAGTCCATCCAACCTTCAACCTTCATCCAAGCAGCCTCCGCTGGGAGACAGCCATCTGTGGGACTAGTCGGGAGCATCTCTGTCAGGAACACCCCTTCCTGTCTCCAGTGGGCAAAAGGGGGGGGGGAAAAAAGAGGGAAAAGTGCATTTGGGAGGTGCTACATAACCCCTGGAGCTGGCGATGCCTCCCGGGCTGTTGCCTCTTCTGCTGGAGAAGGATGCAGGCGTGAGTGTTCGTGGTTGGAGAAGTGTCTGTGCCTCCTCTGGCTGGTTATATTTATGGGAGCTGCTCCTGGCACAGCCATGGGGCTGACAAGGCGCATGGCAGGGATGGCGCGTGCTCCCCCCTTGCTCTCCATCGCCCTTTTCACCCCCCTCCCAGCCTGGGGCTGAACGGAGGAGAGTGACTTGGCGTGGGGTTGCAATGGTGTCCCCTCCAGTGCTTGGTGGCACTGCCCCCCCCACCTAAAACAGGTCCTTACAAAAGCCTGGCCCTGTCCCCTCGCTGCTGGGGTGACCGGGAACCATCAGCCCACGTCCCTGGACAGCCCCAAGGGGATTTTTACATTTTTTCCCATTTGTGAGCAGTTGCTGGCAATGATTTATTAATGCTGCACAGGCACCTGCGTTAGCAGAGCCCACGCTCGTCCCACGCTCGGGTCCTTCAGTGATGGACCTCCATATAAAGCCCTGACGGAAGGATGGATGGCTAACACCATCATTTGTGCTGCATTTTTCTCCCCCGTGGAGGATGAGCTCCAGTTACTCCCATCCATCTCGTTCTTTCAAGTCATCTTCGTTCTGCAATTTCCCCTCACCCCGAAAAGAGTAAAAAATCGATCCATTTCTTTCCAATTTCAGCCGGGGAGAGGGAAGGAGCCCGGGGAGAGGCAGAGGATGCCTTTCTCCGCTCTCGGCACACGCCTGCCCCTCTGCCTCCCCGCGCAGGGCGGGCGGCTGCTGGAGGTATCGATCCCTCCCCGCAAAGTGCACTCCCACCCTGACCTCCTGCTCACCCCGCCACAGCCAAAAATACACAGCTTCCACCCTCCCACTGGCCAAAAAAATGCCATTTTTTTCCCCCTGGAGAAGGGGAAGGGTGTCCCAGCGAGGCTGCCACCGACGCCGGTACCCAGCCCGCGCCCGGAGCTGCTCCCCCTTCTCCATCTTCCCATTATTTCTGCATGTCAGTGGCGGTCCTGCATCGTATCTGCACGCACACACGGGAAAAGTGATGGATCCTGGGAAAACCACCTTTTCCTTTAAAAAACAAGGAAGCGAACAAAGAGCAAAAATAAAAAAAAAAAAGCCCGTTTCTCAAGCAGCCACTCCCACCTGCGTGTTTCAGGGACATTCCTGCCTCACATCTACGGGCACCTACGGAAAAACGGTTGATCCTGGGAAAACCGTCTTCTCCTTTAAAAAATAAGGAAGCAAATAAATTTTAAAAAATCTTTAAAGCGCATTTTTCAAGCAGCCATTCCCACCTGCGGGGGGGGGGCAAAGCCTGGCCATCCCTACCCCTTGAAGATCCTCACCCCATCTGTCCCCAGCCCCCCCAGCGAGGTGGCAGCCACCGTGGTGGCCATCCTGCCACACCTGAAAGTCAAACAGGCACCAGCATCACGTTCTGGAGGCAAACATCTTTGCCGTGGTGGGGTTGCTCTTACACTAAAGATACGCTGCAATACATCACCATTGCACCCCGTGCCACGTCTGACAACAAATATGATTTTAGGTGTCATGCAGCAGGCATTTAATTACTGGAGACATGGGCTTAATGGTATTTGTGTCACAGGAGTGAGCGGGACAGATGTGTCTCGACTCAAGGAGACCGAAACGCTTGCTTCAAAATACCCCTCCTGATAATAGGTAATTTTACAAAAATGGTTAAATGAATCAGATTCAAACAAGGTCTGTTTTTTCCATCTGATCAATAGATCCGAAAGAAACAATGCCAAATATCATGAGTTATTGTGCAGCACTGATGGCTGTCAGGACAATGGGAATAGCAAAGACAAATACACACCTTTTCCTCGGTTATTACTTTAAGCCTTTTATTATCATTATTATGGGTGATTAAAAATCCCATTAATCAGATGCTAAACAGATTAAACTCTATGAATTAATTTTCTGGAAATAACTAAGACAAACATTCTGTGCAGAGCTCATTTAATGAAATAGAAGCTGTTTATCTGCAAAATTAGGGCTTGTGCATATCTGAGCTTTGGCTGGAAAACTCCACTGCCGTGTGGGCACGGCGGGCGCGGGCTGGAGACGCCACCTATTTTTTACCCATTCTAAGTAAAAGAAAGATCTTGCTCTAAGTAATTTATGATTCATTACACAAAGAGCTCATTAGCTAGGGCCAGAAAACAAGATTACGGTCATTTAAGAAATAATTCTTTGATTTAGTGTTTGAGAAGAGGAGGCTGCAGGACAGAGGAAGCGTGTGTGGCCCGAGGGGGACGGGGGGGCCGTGCCTGGGGGCTACCGGGGGGTACACGAGGGCTCAGGTATAAGCCCCAGCGTCAGGCATGGCCTCGGGACTAACGGCAGCTCCAGCGGTGCCAGCCCCAGCTCCAAAGTTCCCTGAATTCCGAGCCTCGCCACAGCTCACCCACGCTACAGCCCCAAGCGCCTGCTTCATTTAACCTTTGCGCTTGCCCGCGCTGTAAAACCGCCATAAATAATTTGCTAAAAGTCACGGATAATAATAGGTAACGTTTTAATCGTGCCGACGGGTCTCTATCTGGTTGAAGTTTGGCCTGTTATTCATAAATGTAAACAGAGAGGTGGGGAGCAGTCCCGGCAGCCGCCCCGGGAAGCACCCCTTGACTCACCAAAGGCCAGCAGGTCCAAAATCCCCCGGCTCTGCATCCTGTGGAGGTGGCCAGGCCACCACGGCTTCCTTGGAGCTCCTGCCCAACGGGACCGTCAGCAGCAGGAGGACACAGCAGAGGAAACCCCCAACACAAATTATGCTCCACAATTTGGTTATTGCGTCATTTCATTACCAGGGATAAGCACTGACACCTATTTAACACGATGTGCATCACCTGCTGATGGCTCCAAACAGCCACGTGCCCAGTGGGGACAAAGAACAACCACCTGGAAGGAGTGCCCTGAAGGAAGATGTCCTCTCCTGCTACGCCAGCAAAACGTGCATCTGGGGAACTCTAGGATGGGGCCGGCCCCAGAAGTTGAGACTGCCGTAAGAGGTGACAGGTTTTTTGGCAGGCTGAAGTGGGGGAGGCAGCGGAGGAGGGCAGGGGCTCATCAGATTAGACAGCTCAGCGGTCTCCCTTCAGCCCCCGGAGCCACCGGCTTAACAGCGGTGAGAAATTTAAGCCAATCTGAGGATTTTCTTGTTGGTTTATCTGCATCTGCCCTCCCGTGCTGCTCACACCCTCAACCTTTTCCTGTACGTGAGAGCCAGGGATCCTGTGCAAACCTTCTTACCTGCTAACAATTAAAGATGGTTGTTATCAGTTTTGCCATTAATGGCGATGATACAGGAAATGAGCATTAATTGATTTTCCACCAATATCTTCCCTTCCCACAATTATGGAGCTGCCTTCAAGTGTAAAGTGCTGAAGCCAACGTGATAAAAAAGTTTCACCTGGGAGGAAGTGCTGCCACGATGCCCTTCTCCACATGTTCATTGCTGGAGCCAGTGGGACACAGGTCCTGGACTGGTGGCCACAGGAGCCCTCCCTGCCCCTTCGCTGCAGTCCTGCCTCTGCCACAGCCCCCCCAGGGCACCCAAATCCCCCCCCGGTCTATACCTGCACAAGCGTGTTTGCACTCCTGGTCAAGTCCACCGTGACATGGTGGCAAGGTCCTCCTCCTGGAATCCCCCAGCTACTCACCGCGTTATCCCCGTCCCCAGGGTGACAAGCCATCCCAGGCTCCATGGCATCTCCCTGGTTCCTAAGCAATGCTTCTGTGTTTAAAAAAGAAAGCTTTTAAATCCAGTATCCAACCCCTAAAGCATCATCAGAGACAAGTGGACCTTCTGTTTGCATTCACTTACAGCCTTCTCTAGAAATTGCCTATTGAATTACTATTTCTTGTGCCTGTTTAAATAAACAGGCGTATTTGTTATTGCTGTTGAAAGTTCCATGTTTGGCCTTTTTAAGTCATTTGATTAGGAAATAGAGAGAATATTTTAGCAGCAAAGAAGGCACTGACAATCAGCACTAGTAGGAATAATCCAATTTTCTTTGCCAAGAAGGGCAAGGGTCCTCCTAGGAGGTCAAAGCTCCCTTAGCACAATTAGAACTTTAATTAATTAAATTGGTTGAGCCTCCACCAGTGGGGGCAGCGTGTTTGTCCCTGCCCAGCAGAGGTCTGGGAGGGGAGACACCAGTTTCCCGTGCCCTGGGCAGAGCCAAGCAGACCCCCAGCTCCCTCCAATATGCAGCCGGACCCCCCACCCTGCCGTGGTGGCCGTTCACTCAAGAGATGCATCTTTTGGGCTCTTTGCTTAACAAGAAGAGCAAAATTTGCCTTCTTCAGCAGCTTGGTGACGTGCGGCACGACTCTCGGTATGTCGTGCTGTTCAGACATGCTGTCTGCAATTAATATTGCATAACGGCCTCCTGATTCCTAAATTATGTATTTCTTCTTCTCAGCATCGTCTGTTTTTTACAGGGTTAATTATTTTCCATCACTCCGCCTTTAGCAACAGTTGTCTTAATTAAGGGGCCAGGTTCCGCTCTCATTCTGCCGGCGGATCCTAATGAAATCAATGGAGCCGCACGGTGTAAATGGGCGAGGGACAGCGGCCATCTACGGAAAACTCAAGTGTTCCCTCTCCTATTGATTAATGCGTAAAATTAAACCAAGGCATAATCTCCAACTTATGACTAGATGTCACTGAGTAAATCACTGCAAACCCCCCTCCTCGGGGTGGCTTTTCCACAGGCAGTTTGAATCCTGCCCGTTCCCCTCCAGCTGCCTGGACCGAACGGATCCAGGATGCTCAGAAGGAACACTGGGAACCAGGAGCAGCTCTGCCATGGCACCAGGATCTCATGGCTTGGCTTTTGGGGGTTAAAAACAGGAGTTGGCAATGAGACTCCATGGTCATTGTCCTCCTCTTCCCCCTTCCTCCCTGCCCCTCTGAGCTGTTGGATGCTCATCCCCTGGCGCTGGGCATCCCCATTCCCCCCTCGCCCCCACCCAGGCTGTGCCCTGGCTCTGGGCAGGACCGTGCTGGGGTCCCTGGCAGGCAGCCATCCCAGCCCCACGTACAGGTTGATTTAGGACCAGGAATCAAACAGCTCAGGGGAAAAAAGGGTTTAAAGCATCCAAGCCCCTGTGTCTGCCAGTGTCACCCCCAGGCTCAGCACGAGGGGTGACCCACCGGTCCTTCCTGCCCCAGCCTGAACACCCCTCCGCTGCCTCGCTGGCAGCAAAAGGGCTTATCTTAAACTATTCCTCCCCTGCTTGCATTTCCTGACAGCCGCCTATTAAAGCAGAGCCAGGCATCCATGCAGCGGAGGCTCCAATAAGTGGATCCCCATGCAATATTCATGGATGGCTTCAGAATAGTTACAGATCCATCACACTTGGCAGCAGGACGGCGCGCGCTCCTAAATGCTGGGCTTAAGCACCTTTTTGAACCGGAGCCCTGAGGATGACCACACCAGGGGCCGTGCCTGCGGGGGCCGGGTGGTGCCTGGGGGGACACCAGCAGCCCGGAGCCTCCTCTGATGGTGCCGATGAGGCCAGAGTCCCTCCCGAGAGGTTTCCTGTAAGAAAAGGCAAAGATCTCTGGCAGGCGACAAGGGTGACCAGGCAGTGTCATCAGCCCATCTTGCCAGTGTCCCCATCCATGCCATTCAGCACAACAGCACTGGGGTGCCCCCCGCTATCCCCGCCAGCAGCATGGCTCTTTCCCATCAAAGCCCCCCACCCACCTCCATCCCAGCCTCTGGGGAGACCCTGGAAAGCCCTTGGGAGACCCGAGGGGGGGGGCTGTAGGGCATCCCCAACCCACCCCTCTGCTCCTGCACCCGGCTGAAGCCATCGATAAACCCCCAGGCACACACAAGCCAAGGGACCCCGGCCGGGGCTTAATTCCCTCGCCCTGAGAAAGGTTTGTTTACCAGCTTCTTGTACGTCTGGCAAGCACCACACTGCAGCTCCAAACCCCATCTCATCCCCCAGGATTAATTTTTACACAATCGTTCTGGAGTCTATGATAATCACTCCATAAAAAAAATGAAGAGATTTGGGATTTTTCTCAATGCAGAGGATTAGGTCTAAATACAAGTAATCTGCAGGAAGCTCAGCTGCATGCACACCACTAATCGCTGCCTTACCCTTCCCAGCTTCAGCCCTTTCATTAGTATTTTCCATGGGAGGGCTGTTTGTCCTTGCTGAGGTCAGCCCAGCGCAGTCAGACACAGCCTGAGGGCCACGGCCATGTGCCAGCCACGGGGGTTGGCAGGGGGGCAGAGGACAACACCCACGGCAGTAGTTTGGGTGAGCTGAGGTGCCATGCATTGCTTCAGTGCCCTGCATCCCTGCAGTGCTGTCCATCCCAGCATCCCTGCCATGTATCCCTGCACTGCCCTACAACCCTGAACTGCCCTGCATCCCTGCAGTGCATCCCTGCATCCATGTAATGCATCCTTGCACTGCCCTGCAGTGCCATCCATCCTTGCACTGCCCCACATCCCTGTAATGCATCCTTGCACTGCCCTGCAGTGCCATCCATCCTTGCAGTGCATCCCTGCATCCCTGTAATGCATCTTTGCACTGCCCTGCAGTGCCATCCATCCCTGCAGTGCATCCCTGCATCCCTGTAATGCATCCTTGCACTGCCCTGCAGTGCCATCCATCCCTGCAGTGCCCTGCATCCCTGTAATGCATCCTTGCACTGCCCTGTTAAGAGAGATGACTCGCTGATGTCCTGAAGCCTTTAGTGAATTCCTGGCTGCTTAACTAGGTGAAGCCTGAATAACAATCTGGGAGCTGGTGATTTCCCCAGACCCAGGGCAGTTGTCCCCATGTCCTCCTGCATCCCTAGGACCCTCCTGCCTTATTCCTGGGGTTTGAAGTCGTTTTCTGCTGAGGCTTGGGGCTGAATTCCCGCATGTTCCCAGTGGGACACAAGCGACACGTGAGCCAACCCGTGCTTGGGACTCGGGGAGATGGGGACCAGGCTCCCAGGGCTGCCAGGCTGGAAGAAAATACTGTACGTAGTAAAGTCAGAAAGAGATGAGTGCCCTTTATGTCCAGCAAGCGTTTTCGCAAATATAATTAAAATAAATACATATCTGGGACTGGTCTGACCGCAGGTCTAAGGATGCAGTGCCAGATTTTTAAAACAAAGTAACATAAGCACTTAGAACAGGACTCAGGCAGACTTTGGGTACTTATGTTCAAAATAATTGTCCCAGGAAGCCCAATTCAGCAGCCACCCAGGCTGAAAGCACTTAGGCACACTCGGGCAGGCGTTCAACAAAGCATTTAGCTGCCCCGGCGCTGCATCAGCAGAAATCTCAGGGCCTTCCTTCAGGGGAGTGACTCAGGGAAACCGCAGGGGTTGGGGCTGAGACAGATGGGGTCCCACCTTAGTCTCCCCAGGTGCGGTCTGGGTCCAGTTCTCAGGTTTATATGGCCACTAAACAGCAATTTTTGCAGGCATCCTCTGCCCACCGTTGGTGTGATGTCCCTGCCAGGGATGCCCACCCCATTTTAGGTAGCTCTGCCACGTCTTCCTGCCAGGATAACCCCTGGCTGGGCTCCGGGTGTCCCTGCTGGGGTGAGGACCAAGCCCCCACAGCGATGCCATCCCCTGCACCACTCCATCTGTGGCTGGTTCCTGCCTCTGTTGGCTGCTGAAGTGCTGTAGGACTTGGGGATGGGTGGTTCGTTAGCAGGGCAGCGTGACGGGAGCCGCAGGTGGCTCGTTCCTCACCGCCTTCCCCCGGGAACGCGTTTTCAGAGCAAGTGGAGAGGCTGCAAACCAGCAGCCTTGGCTGAGGAACGCGGCGGAGGAGGGAGGACGCTCCTGGTAATAAATTCATAGGTCTTCACACACCAGCAGGCTGGCAAGCACCAGGTTTTAAAGAGACTTTAAAACTGTTTTGCGTGCAGTCAGTCAGACCGAGACCCCCTTACGCTTGGAGGCCCTAAACACCAGCTTCAAAGGAGGGAAGCAAAGTGTAAAGAGAGCCTGGAAAAGGCTGATTTCAGTGGGGGCAAGCCTTCAAAGCACCACTTCCCTGTAATGTTAAGAAGACCGTGTCCCGTTTCCATGAATAAGTCAAAAAGTGGGAACCTTTTCCTAAGCTCACACCCGACCCACCGGGTGTTCCCTCCGTCGGGCTTGAAGGCGAATCGATGCTCCTGGTTTCTTTCATGTGGTGTAGCTGCGCCGTCCCCCTCTGCTCCGGCTGCTTCAGTCTGTTCCAAACACTTTTCTTCTCTTCTTCAGTCTTTTTGAGCAGTGGTGAAACTCCCATCGGATGTACCTGCTGGAGGTTGGTTTGGTGTTGGTGACAAGCTGATGGCTGGTGGGACAGGGCATCCATCGAGCGCCCGGGGAGCAGGTTCCATCACCTACGTCAGGGCTCTGCCGCTGCAGGTTTCGTACCTTCCTCCTTGGAGAGCCCTGAAACTAAACAGCAATTCCTACAAATTTCCTTCTGTGTGCCACTGCTGTTTTCTAGCAAACACGCTCCCGTAAGGAGGGGTATTTATCAGCAGCCCAGGACTCGGTGTAACCCGCACACTGCTGCTGCAGGGGTGGTGGGGACCAGCCGGTGACGTGGAGGCCAGAGACATGTCCTCCCCTGCCCCTTGGCTTGTAAAACACCCCGTGAATAGTGAAAACCCTGCCTTACCGACCCACCGCCTCCTCCAAAGCTTCACACACACCAAAACAGGGCACCTAATTGAGGAGAAGGGCTCCCGGGATGCGGGGCAGGGAGCTCTCTACCTGGGCCTCCCCACTCCTCTCGCCTGCAGCCTCCGGCGAGCCGAGCTTCTGTGTCAATTACAGGAAAATCAATGAAGATACTGTTCAGGACTCCTTTTCACCATTCAGCGCGGATGATATCCTTCACTTTCTAGCACTGATTCATTTACTTTCAGCCTCTCCAGGGGCTCCTGACATATTGCTATCTCTGAAGAATCTGAAGCAAGAACTGCCTTTGTTTCCACTGCAACTTGTTGGCGTGCGCAGGCTCCGGGGACGGTGCTGCCAGGGCTGGGGCTCACAGCGGGGTCAGAGGGAGAGAGGTGCAGCACAGGGCAGGGCTTTCAAACATTTCTTGCCAAAGCACCTTTCCAATGTCCCCTCAGATCTCACTTGCACAGAGATTGGGCAGGATCAGGGGCCAAATGGGTCCAAAACCCATGGAGTGTCATCAACCTCCTTCCTCCAGCTCCATGTGGTTCTGGCTGAGCTGTCCCCAACAGCAGTGACACGGGAGCACTGCTGCTTCTCTGGCTGTCCTGCCACTGCCAACACATCCCTCTCCAAGCATCAAAGTCCTACCTGGGCAGTGTTTCCTGACAGGTCTCATCCAGCTCTGCCTCCAAGGGCTTTGTCCAGGCTCCCAGGACTATGGTGACCTTCCCCTGGTGCTCACCTGCTTGTGACAAAAAGCCTCTGATCCACCCAGAGTCCTTTAGCGTGCTCCAGGACATCACAGGACCACCTGCAGGAAGGGGGAAAAAACCCCACTTTTTATTGCCCAGCAGCCTGTTGGCAATAAATGCTCTGCTCTCTCTCATTAACTTCCAATTGGGGGCAGCTGGGAGTTTTGTACAAAACCCAAGGCCTGGGAGTTCTTCTTCCACCTGAGGAGCTCTGGAGAAGTGGAACAGTGCAGGACACGAGGGATGTACAGTCCATGTCCCAGGATGCATGGTGAGACACCACACAAGATAACCTTAAGTATTATCAAACTGATTTCCAGAATATCTGAAGGTGAAAAGGTGTGGAGGGTATGTCCTGGGACACCTGGGTGGGCTTGTTGAAGCTGGGGACACTATGTCCTGGGTGGACAACAACAGAAACCATGTGAAAGGTCATGTAAAAAATCTATCTTCCGTATCAAAACAGTGCTATTTCCTACATTCCTATCCTTTTTTCTCTCCACCAAAGCCACAGGCATCCCACAGGACTGGGATACAGACCTCCAGGCCATACTCAGGCCGAACTCCCACTGAAGGCTGAAAAACCACGCTGTGACGTAAAACCCAACCCTGCGAGGTCCTCATGTTCCTCCTCTTCAAAGAGAGCTTCATGCATGGAGAGCTTGTAGGATATAGCCCAGAGCAAGGATGGTGCTACAAAGACGGTATTTATTATTTATAAGGCACTTCTGTGAACTCAGGGCTCAGAGGCAGAGCTGTCTATGGGGGTGAGCTTTCTAAGGAAAAAAAAGGTAGCTTGAAGAAACCCTGAAAATATTGCAGTACGCAGAAGTCACGTTTGAAAGAGACATCCCTCAGACTGCCGAAGTCAGGCTCTCTTGGGGCTCATGTAAAATTTGCTGTGTGATTTATGGGGCAGTTTAATTAGTAGTAGGGTTCATTTGGGTGGTAGTGTGCCCTCAACATTGGGCTTTTAAAGAAGGAGGGTTTTTCTGATAGTCAGCGTTGGGCTTTGCCTTGCCCGGGTGCAGGCTGTGGCGCAGGCTCCTGCGGTGCTACACGTGCCATACGGTGACCCAGAGTGTCACCGCGAAATGTCAGGACCCCACGGCCCTGACGGGGGGAGCAGGGGCACCTCGTGCACCCACCTGGACACCGGTCGCCCAGCAAAGGCACAGGGTCTCGAGCAGCCCGGGCTCCCCACGGCTCGGCTTGTGGCCATGCTTGGCTTCCACATACACCCGTGGGGCTCGGGGGGGTCACTGTGGGACTGGGGCTGTTGGGGGGTCACTGTGGCTGCCAGGCTGGGCCACACCTGTCTTTTGGAGGGTTACTACAGGGGTCCCGAAAGCAGTGGGAAGGGCACTCTGGGCACCCCAGGGTTGTCAGGGGCATCCCGGGGATGTCGGGGGGGCACACTTGGGATGCCAGGTCATGTACATGGTGCTGCTGGGGGGGACACCCCCGGGCTGGGCTGTCGGGGGGCACTCTG